CATTTTGAAAAGAGGGGGTGCAGCCAGGATTGGGCCCTTGGCCTAAAGGGCAGGCAGTAGGTGCTGCTGGCTGGCTCAGGAAAAGGAGTCAGTCAGCTGAGGACCAGATGCTGCTGGAGCCACACTACCTGGTCCCTCTTCCTGAGCTGCTCCCTGCATGCAACCCACACCCTGCTTCCTGCCCAACCTGCCCAGCTCCAAGCATGCCCCTCGTGGCAGCAGCCAAATGCAGCAGGAGGACGGAGACTCCCAAAGAAGGATAATCCCAGACTACCTTTCCCAGCATGTCCTGGGATCAGCATGGCCTACAGGTGTTGCTGATGCCGCCTCTTCTAAATCAGCACCCTAATTAAGCTACTGGAGGGGATGTGTCAACACACATCCCTAGATCCACCCTTGATCATCCCTACCCAAGCCATTCTATAGAAGTGTCTGTGTAACCTACGTCTAAAACTGTGAGCAACCCTCGTACACAACTAACAGGGGCAGAGTCTGAAAACATTAAGAGCACCCAGCTTGCGACAGGTAAAGCAGGGGGATGAGGGCACTGCCAATGTCCTGCCACTGCAAACACAGGAAGCAGTTTGTTAAAATACACTGGAGAGATCCAAGGGTGTTGGTTGTAGCTGTATTAGTCTAAGGACATAGGCAGACAAGAGGTTTTTTGGGGGTAAATCCAATATCTAATAAAAGCTATCAGATTTACCCAAAGAACCTTGTCTGCCTGGCACGACCCAAGGAAGAGGACTGCACTCCCCCTCATTGCACAGGAAGGCAATCCCCCCTCCCCTGCCCTGCCCTGCCCTGCCCCTAGTCTGTGCTGATCTGACTGTGGGGTAAAATTCCTTCTTGAGCTCCCTGATCCCAAACAAGGTGATAGGTCTGACTCTGAGTGGAGGATCAAGATCCTCTTGCCATGAATGTCCAGGTTTTTTTTTAATCCAGCAGAAGCATGGGCACAACACTGCCAAAATCCCATGTCCTGGCTTCAGCCAACACCTATTGCTTCCAAACAGTGGGGTAACTAGCTTGGGGCACCTGGTACAGTCAGCCCAGGCACTGACATCTTATCTCCTCCATAAACATGTCCTTGCTCGCGGTTGTATCACCCTGCAGACTCACATCGTGTCCATGCTCCACCAAGACCCCGAAGTCTTCCTCCACAGTGCTGCCATTCAGCCATTTGCCACCCATTCTGTCTTTGTGCTTTTGATAAGTCTTCCCCAAGAGCAGCACGTTGGCCTATTGGCTCTAGCCCAGCTTTTCAATCTATCAAGATCTGTCTAAAGTCTGCTCCTATCCTCCAGTGTGTTAACGCCACTGACCCACCAGATAGTGCTTAGGGATTAAGGAACAATTAACTTTTAAATGGAACATGAAATACAAACGCAGACAACTTAGTGTTTTACCATTAAAGTTTAACTTTATTAATGGAAGTATTATTTTAGCAGTTTTTATATTTAGAGAGCGAAAAACATTTATTACAATAATTTTACCCAATTTTAGATGTTACTTTGATTAACAGAAAAGGTGGCCAGTTCATTTTTGAAAGCAAAGGGTGCATTGTTGACTGGGATGGTCCAGACAGCTGTTGAAGATGACAACACACTTCACCTTTTTTGTTGTTCCCTTTTTATGTTTTTTTTAACCTTTTCTTTTTTTGATGACTTTTTGCTTTTAGATTGTTTGGGGGTTTTTTTGTGGTTAGTATACTGTTTATATTTTATTTTGTTAGCATATTTTTTAACAGACCCATCACGAGCACACCTTTAAATCTGGTTTTTTTCAGTGTTTTACTTTGGGCATTGCTCATTTTTTTTTTAAATAACTTTTATTAATATATTTAATTATTTTATCCCTGTAATTCAGCTGGTTAGTGCCAAGTTTAGTTAATCTGAGCTGGTAACAAGACTATTACTATGTTATGTTGGATAAACTTTTTACAGTGATAGAAAAGGAAAGAAACTTTATGTGAGCAAACTTAAGGCCATAAGCTGCTTGTGAGAGGCAAGGGCAGCTGATATTGCAGACACTAGCAAAATGAACAGTTTAGATAATAATGAGGCTACACAGAACTTATGATTAAATAAGGCTGAATATAAAAGAAAAGCTTACACAATATTGTAATTTACCATTTCATAGGCAGGTGCAACTTCACAGCATAAAATACAACAAGATACCCCAACAAGTGTGTCTGCAGTCTTTCCCAGTTTTGTGTTGTCTGCAGATTTGATCAGGAAGTTCTGTTCCTGCATCCAAATCTTTAATAAATATGTTGTTACTGATTGGTGACAAAGTTTGGGCATGACCAAGTCAAAACCCAGATGCCTTAATTCCATTTAGGGATCTATCTGCATCTTTTTTGGGCTTCCAAGAACAATCTTAGAGGTGAAGTTCCTGCTACTTTTGCTTTTGGTTTAGGCCAGAAACCAAATGGGAAGAAATAGAGGCATAACTAGCATGGTTTGTGATTTGGGCCAGCATCTCCCTTCTCTCCCCTGCTCCTCTGCCTCTGACCTGTTTCTATCTGGGGGTTCAGGAAGCTCATTCAGGGATGGAGGGAGGCATCTTGGTCCCTGTCAGATCCACAGGTAGGAATCCTCTCTGAAAGGTAGGTGCCTACCACAACTCTTTCCTCTCAAAAAAAAGGAAAAAAAAGAAACAAAAAGATGAGGACTCTTTCTTTTGAAACAACCCTACAAGAGGGGAAGGAAGTAGTGATTAGGGCATTCACTTGACAAGGGGGACAGCTGCTTTTCATTTCCTCCTTAGCAGCAAGGGATATAAATGCACATCTCCCTTCTATCCAATGACTGGGTAATGCAAAATACGAGTGTTATGGAAGCAGGGATGGGAACCCCATTCCAGGAATGTCCCCTAACCACTAGACTATAGAGTCATGCTCTCTCTTGTGCTGTCTCTCTCCTTCTCCCTCAGATTTCTCCTGTGACAAAGTCTTTTATGTTGGGATCCTATAGATGTACAAGCCTATTGTCTCACTTCAGATACCTATGAAATATCTGAGATGATAACAATTTTTCCTGGGACAGTCGCAGTTAATTTGAGGGAATTGCCATTGAAGCTGCATCTATGCAGCTCCCAGGTTTTGACTAGGATCAATCGGAGCAGACTTGAATGCAATGTATATTTTAGCCTTCACCAACTAGCAGATCTGGAATTCACTCGAGTTCTTTTCTGAATAGCAGCACAGCTTCCACACTCGGGGTTGAGTGTCTGTCCATCCCAAACAGCCTATAGTATGGTGTTTGGGCACTCTCCTGGAAAGTGGAAAAGGTGTATTTGAATCTCCTTAGACAAAGGAATTAATTTAACCTGCCTTTCCCATGTCCTGGACAAGTGCTCCGTGTTCTAAGTTAATATAAAAGAAGGGTTGGTACCCTTCCACTATGTTTTGCAAGGAAGTGATGGACAAAACTGTTTTTAAAAAGCCCATTCCCACCAGTGTATGCTGGTCACTCTCTGAGAATGCTTACAGGATTGAACTGCTTGGGAGACATGGGGGGTTTTTTTGTTTTTTGGTTTTTTTAAGGAAAAATGTTTTGTGTCTCAAGTCAAATCAGCCAAATCAATTCCAAATCCATGAGTCATTCAAGAACCATATGTGGCCCTACTACCGGCAAGCATCCTCCACCCCCTCCTGAGGCTTCAGATGCTTCCAAATCCTTTAGCGGGCATCCTAGGTGCAGGTCCAAGCCTGGAGGCTTGGGGATTGGATGCCCCCGAGTTTTGCTTGGATGGAGGCAATCCTCAGCATTCTGGTGAACTTTAAATTAGAAAACAGTAAGGTGTCCCTGGAAGTTAGGTGCCTCCAGGCCTAAGATGCAGTTGAGTGGGGGGTTTCAGGATCTCAGCTACAGACTGAAGCACCTATCTTCTACCTAAATCCTTTTTTGGGATTTGGCCTTTCATCTGTTACAATAAGTCTGCCCAGCATCAAAACAATTCTGGTAATAGCCACTTATTTGATGTGGCTTGTAACAATTCTCCTTAATTTTTCCCTAGCCTGTAATGCGCTATGGTTATCTGCATCCCTTGCAGTCCACAGAACCATAAGAATGAATCATGGATTTGTTTGGCTTGATTGCACACAGATTAAATCATCCGGTGCCGTGTTCCTGTTGGTGTTCCACATTCATCTTACTTCAGAATTGAAATTCAATTACCCAAGGTTTTGAGGTCACAGTTGCAGATAATCCCTCCAATGGTTACAGATGCCTTCCAGAGAATAGCATTTTCCTGCAGTGAAGCGACCTCCGTCCTCCATATGTAAAAAAAGCTGCTGAAAAGGAATTTTATAGATAGATAAAGTCCACTTTGATATATTTTCTGCACTTACGTTAAATCTGTTTGGAAACCAAAAAAACCAGGTTCCCACCCTGTTCCCATTACCTATAAAATGGTGGGATTTTTAGCAGTAGGAGCAGAAAGGAGAGGAAGTTAGTTGCTTAGTTACAAATACATATAACTTTTCCACGATTTCCAGTCTCAAATTTCTAAGCATGACATTTGTCTCTGTTTCAGAAAATGCTAAATATGACCAATTATGCATTAAAATTAAAACAAAAAACTGTTTGATTTTAGCTTAATTAGAGTTAGATCTAAGCATACCTCCAATGCTGAGGGGAGTAAAAAAATGTACAGACAAGTATTTTCCATGGAAGGTTAAGTACATTCAACACTGGAAAATTTTATTTGTGTTTGAGGAATTAAAACTGATTCATCTTAACCTATGCCTGACAGGATTGTATAATCACTTTGAGATCTTGCTACTCTAAGATCAACAGGTTCTCCCTTTGTCAACTCTCTTTCTTTTTATTTATATTATATATATAAGCATGAACTCCACTTTGAAGCTATAGATTCAGGTTCTGCAAGTGAAACCTGCAGCAGAACCTATGACTGTCAAAACTGAGGTAGCACAGTTGTCTCTCACGTAAAAAAATATTACACACACACACACACACACACACACACACACACACACACACACTTCTCCTCCTCCAAGACTAAAGACATAGACACCAATTACTCTGGAACTGGAAAAGTTGTAAATATCTTCTTTAGCCCTGCTTTTAAAAAGGATTTACAAGACTGGGCCTTTCCCAGGGGAGTAGCTGTAGTCTAGGTAAAAACTGTAAGCCCCTAAAATAGTACTTGGGCAAAAGGCAGCCCTGTGTAACATATGTGAACTGCTAAAACGTATGCACACAGATATGCACAGCAAACATCTCTCTCTCCAAAATACAGAGAAGCTACAGTGGACAGCTTGCAGTGAATGGAATGAAATTGGAGTAGTTTGTTCTTCTGAAGCAGCTTTGGAGCAGAGAGGGGAAGTGATGTCAGGAAGTCATTAGGCTCTTTTAAATTCAGTTGATGCTTAACACTTAGAATGAAAAATGAAGCCTTGCTGCAGAGTTTGCGGGTGGAGGGCAAGAGAAACTGTGAGCCTTTCAGGTTATGTCTATATGGTGCAAGGCAGCAATAGGCTGAGAGACTTCCGGCCAGCTCTGCAAGTGCTGGCTTCTACACTGGTACAGACACGTAAGTACAGCACTCTGCCCAGACTAATATACTGTTTCTCAGTGGGGCTTACAGACCTGCACATAAGCCTATGCACTATTGCAGATGTCCCTGCTTCTATTGTAGGAGCTAGAGTAGGGACTCTCGGATGATTATTGCCTTAGGCCACACAGACATGCATGCTAGTCAGTCTGTGCAAGAGGTGACAGGATGCTGAGAAGGAGGTATTGTACAGATCAAGGCATTTAGGAGTGCAAGAGACCATCCCAAAGCAAATGAAACATGCTAAGACTTTATGATGATGGAGTGTGTAGGTAGCTTTTCCATGCTTTGGTTACCACAAAAACATTGTGGCTTCCCACCAAGATGACTAAAATTAACGTGTAGTCTTTTCTTCAGACAAAGCATTAGAAAAAAACAAAAGGGGCTAAAAATAAATAGTGATTTAATCATGAGAAGCATCTGTCAGTTATTACACTGGTGTGGCTGTTTTAAATTTAAACAGCATCCCCCAACATCTACCGTCAGACCTTCTCCTGTAGGTATTCTGCCTAGGGGACTGCTCCTTTTATTGCAGTCAGTGGGAGTTTGGCAGACAGGAGATGTTTGTTCATATTAATCTGAGGAACACCCTGATGTTATCTGTTTACCTTAAAAATAGGTTTATGTGACAATGTATGGTTGTTAATTTTTTATTTTTTTTTGAACAGCAGGAAAGCAGGTAGGAGGTGCTGGGGAAGGTTGTAGGCCGAAGCTGTAACAATCTCTCACAGGGTAGTTATAAGATATAAATATAAGGCATCTTTATAAGATACATTACATGCTAGGATGAGATGTGCAATAATTTGTGATGGGGTTTGAACCCAATGACTCTTCAAGTTTCCTTCCAGGTGATGCTACTGTAATACTTGTATGTGCGTATTCTGGGGAGGTATCCCCATTAGTTAAACGCTGACCATGTACCTTGTACTGTTATTTATTGGGCGCAACTGCTGTCCTTCCTCCGAGACGGTTGTACAAGCAGTTCAGCTGTCCTGCTTTAATGAACCCGACAGCTGAAAATGTAACAACCTCCACCGCAAACCCAGGCATGTTTCACCCCCAAAAGTGAAGGCATATATGGGTAGAGAAGTGGGGGCCCAGGGATACAAGCTGGAACAAGCACCGGGATTGTGCGAGAGAGATTTTTGGGGCTGAGTGCCGGCCAACAAAGGCTTGGAGCTGTTGCCAAAAAGATCACTATCTCTTGCAGTCCTCAGGGATACAAAATGATTAACATTCCTTTGAAACAAGCGCAATTACATCAGAAAAATAACTGTTGTTAGTTTCTCCTCCTAACGGCCAAAAAGGAATGAACAACAATCCCAGGAGTTGTGGGTTGCACGGTCTGAAGCTCCCCACATCCTGCCAGGTGCTGCGTGGAGGTAGCCCCGACCCTCTGAAGTCAAGGAGTAGATACTCGTGTGTGTACATCAGGGCAGGATGGAGACCAGAGGGGCTGCTCCAACGCTAGATTACTGTGTGCGACTTCGTTCTCATCAGTTCAGTTACAAGCACTGCTTGGTAGCAAGGACAACTGAGTGCTAGCTGAAATAGCTTTCGTTGCACTTGCTGGATACCTGCTTTCCAGAGCAACCTGAGCAAAAAAGAGAAGAGGCTTGCTGGGGTAGGGAGGGAGTTACACAGCTCAGACAGCTCCCATCCTGCAGGTCACGTTTGGCTGTCAGGAGCATGAAACCTTGCTTTACAGTGAGACGGGAAGCAGGATCCCACTTTTTACCTTTGTGATTTAGGAACAATCCCATCATGGAAAAATCCGAATACCCAAGAAATAGCCATTCTGGGCTGCATCGTTAGGAGCGCTGCCAGCAGATTGGGGGGAAGTAATTATTCTTCTCTATTCAGCACTGGTGAGGCCACACCAGTGTCCTGTGTCCAGTATTGGGCCATCCACTACAGAAAGGGTGTGGACAAGTTGGAGAGAGTCCAGCAGAGGGGAATGAAAATGGTTCAGGGCTGAGGGACATGACTGGTATGGAGAGGCCAAGGGAACTGGGCTGATTTAATCTGGAGATGAGAAGACAGGGGGGATTTAATGGCAGCCTTCAGCTACCTGAAAGAGGGTTGCAAAGAGGACAGAGCTGGACTGTTCTCAGCAGGGGCAGATGACCGAACAAGGAGCAATGGGCTCAAGTTGCTGCAAGGCAGGTTTAAGTTGGATATTAGGAAAAACTTTCCCTCTAGGAGGGTGGTGAAGCACTGGAACAGATTACCCAGAGAGACTGTAAACTCTCCATCCTTGGAGGCGTTTAAGACCCGGCTTGACAAAGCCCAGGCTGGGATGATGTAGTTGCAGACGGTCCTGCTTGAAGCAGGGGGTCGGACTAGACGTGACCTCCTGAAATCCCGTCTGACCTGAACTTTTTAGGATTCTCCTTTAGTTCAGGGTAAGTGGGAAGGAAGGAGCAGGCAGGAGGTGCACAAACCCCACTGCCTGTACCCATTAGACCAGGACCAGAAACTATTTCTGATAATCTGAAGGCAAGAATCGCTTCACTTTGTTAGGCATCTTGTTTTGCCACCTGCAGGGAAGAGACTCGACCAGCGGTTTTCAGCCCCGGTGCAGCATGACTTCAGCGCTCGCCCTTTGGGTCTAGACCAGCAATTCCCACTTGCCCTTCGGGTCCGCGGCACTACCCTGCCCTAAGGTGGAGTGGTAGCGTTTCCCAGGATGCGGCATAACACGCGAATAAATTCCCCAGACAAACCCGCAGGTTTCACACCGCATTAAACGCCCTCTTTAGCAGGGGAGCTGCTCGGGGGTACTTCCGCAGCCACAACCCGGGCAAGAAGGAAGCGCCGCTGCCGGCCGAGGGGGCACGGCCGGTCCGCGAGGGGCTCGATTAGGGCCCTGTTGCAACCCGAGGTCCGTGTGACGGGACACGTCCCTCTCCCCTCGGGGCTGGTCTCCTCAGCGCTGGACGTGGCAGGGGCTCTGCGGATGCGAGCCCGGCTCCGGGGCAGGAGGCGCGGCCGCCGCATCTCCGCCCCTCTCGGCAGGGCCTGGCCGACGCCGCCGCTCTGCCCCGGGCGCCGCGAGGTGACCGGAGCGGGTCGCGGAGCCGGGCCTTACCCCGGGGGAGCGCACCGCCCATCCCATCCCATCCCCCTT